GTGGCCACACGGAGATTGCATTATAGTGAGATTGAGATGAAAGCCCTCTCTGATCCGCTGAAATAACATCTTGTGCAGTAATCTGTTTGTAGATTTGATTCCTTTGATGATATTTCCCCTCGAGTTGGCTTTTCACCAGGACTCCGCCGCTATGAAACAGATGTATGTTCAAATAGTGTTTACAGGGCCAGCAGTTGACAAACACTGAACTGATTCAATGGAGCATAAAGCCAACAATAAACAAGATTTAAGAATAGGAAATATGGCATTAGGGAAATCTGTGAAAGCTGCCTCAGAGAAATACTCTGAATTATTATAATTAGGCATATGATACTGTGTGTTAATGAAAGATAGAATAGATGCCATTTAATTTCCTGACCAGCCAGATCTTCCTACATTTGATCTCACCAGGCTTGGGCGCATTTGTTCTCAGAACCTCAAATAAAACATCTTATAACCAATTGCAGGACGCCTGAGTCATGCATCCATATAGATAAGTGTTTCCTTCCTTGCCCTTCCTTCAAATTTGTATTGACCTTTGTGGCATAAAGATGTAACAAAGTAACACGATGGGGCAGCACGGTTGGGTAGAAGTTGGCGCATATGCTTCACAGCAAGAAAACTGTCTGGAGTTTGCATGTCCTCGCCATGTATCAGTAGTTTTCCGCTGCCACTAAAAACATTTACAATTGTGTGGTGGTCGAAGGATATGGGCACTAGGTGTTTGGCACTGTGTTTTGAGTGAATGGTTATCACACCACTTTGTAAAGCACTTTGTATGACTTTTGTCTTTTTAATGTTCTCTTTGAATAAAGAATAGTCACATGATTATTTGGGTTAAAATTTGCCTGACCAGCCAGAATCACATGATTTTACAGTAGGTATATAGTCCTTTTTTATCCCAAATATAAGAACCAATCCGACAAACCTGGAAGAGGCATAACTGTTTATTCTGCATTTAAACATGTATGTCAAAATAGAAGGGCCTCAATAGTCAAGCAAGGTTCAAATAATGTACAGTTTCCTATACACCTTTTGTGACAATTGCATTGGAGCTCTTTTAGTCTGCCATATGTATCATATTAATGTAACGAACTGGATATGCCAGCAACCCAACTGAAACTTGTCACATTTAGCAGCTGAATATTTGCATTTGGCTCGCCATATGTTAAAATACATGATTGAGTGGAATTAACGAAACATGTTGCTTCACATCGTCACTGGCACATTCTGTCTGTTCTGACGGGTTCTCAGTGTCTTCCCTGTACTTTCGACAATCACCCACTTGTGCTGTTGAAAGCGCTAAAACATTGGCCATTGGTGTATGCGATGGGTCGGGCTTTCGCACGCTTTTGGACTGCGCCAGCTTCACTATGTGCATTTGCGCTAGGCTGTCTGCTGTGTGAGAGGCCAGAACTGCGAGCGAACATTGTCTAATTGAAGCACTAAGTAAATTTCCTCATGTGATAATTGGCTTCCTGGAGTGCATGTGTGTTTGCCGCTCATCACCGTAAGTGACAAAAGAGGCGAAAAGGCTAAATACGTCTTGGGTGAGGTTGTTTAACTTTTCCGGAAATCCAAAGTTTGCTTGTTTTGGTAGAGTGGACTTTGAGGAGTAGAGACGGGGCGAGATCAAGCCTGGCTTGAGGGCAGCACAATCTTCAAGAATGTTGAGACTGAGGGAAGTAGGGTTTGGAGGCAGAAGGAAGATGATGCAAAATTCAAAAGCTTCATGCAAGAATAGCCGAAGACTGCACTGCGAGTGGATTGACGTATATTGTGAGAGTTCTTACAGGTATGCAGAAAAGCGTTTCCCCACATAGTTCCATGATTGAAATGTTTTATTAATACAGAACATGATGAGCTGAATTGTGAATGAATTCTTCTATGTATAACACTCAGTACAACTCCTTCCAACTGGCAATACTAATTATCATAGAATTTTTCATTATGTAGCTTAAAATATTTTCTCCAGAAACAACCATATTGATTTCCCTTTTTTCAGATATGAGATAAGAGAGAGGATCACTAAAATCAATAACAGTAAGACATAAAAGAAAACAATGTAGGAATAATTAAGAGAAACATTTATGGGAAGCAATGAATGTGTCTGGATTCTGAAGCGTATGTGGAAAAGCTGCTACTTTGCTGCTTAAGGGCCGTAGCACACATACCATGCAATGTCATTTTTGAGCATTTAACAATGATACAACATGGTTCCCTGCATTAATCTAAATACAAGGAAAATCAGACATTCTTAGAGTATGTGCACAGTAGACTGATGGATCACATCTATGCTTAATGCTTGGACAGTGCTTATATGGTGTTTCAGGACATATACAGAAAACTGTCACCATTGGAAGGTTTAAACTGAAAAGATGTTTCAGTGAGCGACTGTGTTTGTTTGCCTTCTTTAGTCTAAGCAGTATAGTGATTTAGACATGTTGGCACATAGTGATAGCTATGCTTTTTGGCGTACACAACCAAACCCCTTTCCATTGGCTCATCAAAAAACATATTGGAGTAGTCAAAGCTCCATCCACTCGAATATCAGGATACACAAAAACATTCCTCCACCCCGTTTTCCTCAAATCTGGCACCTTATGCTAACATGAGCCTTTTTATGACTTGAAGTATTGAATCTACATTGAGACATCGGCAGGAGATAAACACTTGCGTCTGAGGACAGAAGTGGGTAATTGTATTTTGAGGCCCTCCTTTTTTATTTATACATGTAAAATTATGTCTAAAATTTAAATAGATTCATGATCACGTTTAAGAGTCAAATGTAATGCATAATAAGTATTATTTAAATATAAAAATAGAAACAAAACACAGTAGTTACCGTTAAGTTCCAATGAATTACCATTAGACAAACATTGATTTCTTGTACAACTTAAGAACAATCCTGGCAAGTAAACATCATCGACAAAGCTAGCCAGAAACATGGTCTAAAAGTAGCCTGTGCTCAACTAGCCACCTCCACTCATTAGTTAGGTGTATTGTTGGTGTCTAGCGATGCTCCATTTGTTAGGATACTTTGTATGTGACAGGAGCGACCTTAGTCGGTGGCCTGCATTGCTGACAGCAGGACTTTATAAAGAAAAAAAAATCAACCTGTTTATGCAGCCCTCCCTAGCAGGCACACAGACACAGCGGACAGGATCCCTCCATCACTTCTCCCATATGCTCCGTGCAGTCTCCAGGGTATTACGGACCACAGAGCAGATTGTTGGCCGCTTCAGAGGCGAAACACAAAGACAGCTGGCCACCCATCACCAGGCCAAGCAGATGTTCAGGTGACTGCAAAAGAAAGGGAGAGGAGTCCAGAGCAATACAAGCCGGAAGTAATGGAAAGATTCCTCTGATGCAGTTAAGCAAAACAATCAATGAAGTGGTCGAAGTGGTATTAAGGGGTTGTCATTTGTGATGTTATTGCTACCATTGGCAGTAGTAGTCATAATAGGGCTGTGTTAAACATTGAAAGATCACAATTGAAATGTTGGCCTTTCTTGAATGTCACCACTTTTTAGGAGTAAAAGTTATGTTCTAAGTGTTTACAGTATCATGGTTCCAATTAGTTTATTATTATTTTTTATTGTTTCAAGATCATTCAATATTACCCAGAATAGTATATTTTAAGCGCTCCCTTGTCATCCAATGGAATATTCTTCTGAACAGTCTTAACTTGTTCTACAAGTTCAAAAACGGTGTATTGGTGCAAGCTTTATGAAAAAGAAAAAAAAAGGTTTGAAAAGTATATATCCCTCAGCTCCATTCCTGGGCCAAGCAGGTGTCCTGGCGACTCTATTGAAGTGATAGGAACCTATACTTAGAATTGAATACATCAGTGCTCAGACTTCATTGGCTCTCCCCTGTGAGCTGAGCATTTTCCACTTTCCTTTGGCCTCAAAATCAGTGTTGTCTCTTCTATTGATCGCTCTTTACCTCTGATGAATGTCTGCTGGAGGTCTAATGCCTTTGATCTCTGGATTTTCGATGCTTATATAAATACAGACGATAAGCAGCTGCTGGGTTCTCTGTTTTCATTTCACCTGGGGGAATATTCACAATCTGAACCTGACCCTATTACAATGATTTTTTTTGCAGATATGCAAAAAGAATTGCACATTTGAAAGAATTGCTCGCAGCCTAATTTGATCCAATCAGAAACCGTAAGCTGACTTGAATTTCCATACAAGTTGATGTAATAGCTTTTTTTAAACTCTGGCAAGCATTGCTATTGACACGGATTCAAAAAGGGACATTTTTCTAGACTGAGAATGTGATAAATTAGACTGGACAAATATTTTAAGATTTGTATTTTCTTTTTCCCCATCTTCCCTCTCTTGTGACAGCCTTTGCTGGCTGATCTCATGTATAATACATGTGGCATGGAGGGCTTATACCAAGCTTTATTCCCATGAAAGAAACTATATTTAAGAGCAGGAAGGTCATTTGTGGGACAAAGTGTCTGATTTCTTCCAAAAGGTGCTGGTAAACAAATAGCATCTCTGGATGCAGTGGCCAATCCACATGAAACAAAATAAACTGTCCTGGCTTATCACCGTGCGAATGACAGGATAAATGTATTCTATTGTAAAATATGTTATGCACGTCGCTGGGTGTAAATTGTGGTTTAGAGGACAGTAAAAGTAGTTTTTTTCTATTAATTGCAAGTCGCTTTACTGAATCTAAAGCAGTAGTGATTACATGAGTTATTTAAGACTCCAGATTATTGGCAGCCACTTATAAGCACTACAGCACTAAAGTAAGGAGTGTCTTGAAAAGCCAAGTTCAACCTAATGGTTCTCTCAGCTCCCATAACGTTTTTGTATACAGCGACGTTTGTGTTTTTCACATTTCGGCTGATAAACTTCTTCAATGGCTTCAGTATGTTGTTGCCCTCTGTGTAGCACACACCTTTCTACACCCACACACCATTCAAAGATTACTTTCCAACTCCAGATCTAACCGTTTTCTTGCTGCTCTCCTTGCAGCTGGCACCACCTACATCTTCGGAAAGGGCGGGGGCCTCATCACCTACACATGGCCCAACAACGAGAGGCCCAGCACGCGAACAGACCGTCTCGCCGTGGGCTTCAGCACAACCATTAAAGACGGCATCCTAGTGCGCATTGACTCCGCGCCGCGCCTGGGAGACTACATCATGCTGCACATCGTAAGTACAGCTGCGAGCCCTCTTGACCATTTCCAGCCAGTGCATTATTTAGCAGCTTAAAACCCACTAGTGCCCCAAACAAGTCACTTAATTACTTCGAGGCTAGACATCTGGTGCAAGCTAATTACCAAAACACTTCTCAGGCTGAAGCACTTACCATGTCTGGCCACAGTGAATTATGTTTTTTTATGATTCAAAAATGTTCATGAACATGTGTGCACTGAGCCACTCTTTTCCTTTGTGTGCAAATGTTGAGTTTTTTTGGCTTCAAATACATCTTCATTGATTGGTGAAACTCTTTTATTACCCATCAGCGCAACAGTCCTTATTTTTGTAATTATGAAGCCCTTCGATGGCTTTCACTTAACCCATTGGGGGTGCAAGCCATCCCCCAATGGTTAATGAAACTCTAATAGCAATATTTCTGGTGAGGTATAATCATGGTTTTTAGCCCCTGAGTTACATGTTACAGAAAAGGAATTGCTATTGGATTGGCACTACATAAACATTGTGGACTTATTTGTTTTTTTTTTCACTTAGATTTTGTAATTAAAAATATTTACAGTTAAATTTCTTGGACCAAATTCACAGCATAGTTCTAGAGCGAAATAATGAAAAACGAATCTGAAGTGTAGAGACATCTCACTCCACTTTCCTCCTCGCCATCTTCTCCCTGAAAAACCCCACTACTTCAGCACATTGGAACTGGCTCCCAGCATGAATAATGAATGTTCCCCCATACATATGCAGCTGCTGGGAGACTAGGAGTTGGAATTCCTGGCCAGTCGTCTGCACATCCACACAGCATTTTAATAATCTCTCGATGTGACCTTGTCTTTGACTGGTTTACATAGGCATTACGTATTAGCATAATCATCTTTGGCGGTAGGCCCTTAAATGTCGGCGGCAGGAGTATAGAGATGTAACTGGAAGGATGTAGTCTGGGTTCTGATGATGCTGTGGAATAAAACTGATGACAAGTTGCAGTCAATGTAGTTTTGAAAGTTATAAACTGATCAGAGATACACAACATTGCACAACCCCTGTCTCTTTGTATTAGCCCGGACAGTCAGGGCTAATTAATTGCTTCAAAATAATCTCTGTGTTTGAAGTTTTGGTTAGTTTGATTGAAAGCTGATATTAGCAATTACACAGTCTGTGTCAAAACAGAAATGGTACAATATGTGCATATGAGATACTATTAAACTGTTTTGACAATTTGACAATGACTGGCCCAAATTCTGGTGGTTAGTTTATGAAAGTTAGTTGAAATAAATGGACAGTCCATGTTTTTTGCTCTCAAACAGATTTGGGAGCAGTTTATCACATGAGCCTTTGTCACATCTTTAGATCAGCTTCTTCAGACAGTAGAGTAAAAAGCCAATCCATTTTCATCCCAAAGTATCAAATAGTGACTCACAGGGTTCAAGTATTTAATAGATAACCTGTTTTCCAATAAGATGAAGACAGCAGGGTGTGGTCTAATTATGTACGGTATAAAGTGTAAGCAAGAATATAGCAGTGTCCTATTACACTAAACTCATTCATTATGCACACTATTTTGTGGACTCGTCTATTTTGGACACCACTTTTCCTCACTGCGGGTCACGCAATTCTACTGTTAAAAGCAACAGTATGTAAAGTCTGATGCCACTTCCATTGAAACAAACAGGACCAGAAGGAGTGTCAATCAAGTGAGTCTGTGCAGATCCATGTCATAAAAGGCCTTACAAATATTTAAGTTAAAGAAGTTACATATGGGGGTAAACTATCAAACTATGAGATAGATCTCACATTAAATGATATTCCATGGCACCCATTTTCATCAATCATTATTTTCAAACCCAGAAAATCTTTTGCTGACACTGCGATAAAATATGTATGTGTTGATGAGGGGGTCTACATTTGCAGATCAAAAGTCGTCTTTAAGAACCATGTGGCGGCGAAAACACGCCATCTGCTCAGTATAGGTTGCCAGACACAAGCTTTATGAAGACACACTTGCAAATGTGCAATAAAGTGAAATTGGAACAGTGTTTATGGGTTTTACAGAACCCCTAACCCTAAGAGCTTAGTCACACTGGAGGAGCTTGGAATAGAGCTGCTGCATCTCCACAATGAGAGGAGCCAGTTGAGGTGGCTCAGGTATTTGTTTCGGGTGTCCCACCGTGAGTAGACCCAGGACATGGCCTAGGAACACCTTGGGATTGTGTGTGTGGAGAAGGAAGTCTGGGTGTCTCTACTCAAAATGTATGGATGGATATTCAATCTAATCTAGTTTGCAAATCCATTGTTTATTAGATTTGTTGTTCTCAAAGTTTTGCATCTCAAAGTTTAGAATCAGTGCTAACTTTGTTTTGAATTTCTCACCAGGCTACCTCATCTTATTTATCAGTATTCTGTCTCTAGGTGCAAATTAATTGTATTATCAGTTCATTTATTTTTAGATTTTATCTTTCACAGGGCTGTTTTTTGTTTGTCTGCCGCCAAGGGTATGCCGAGTCAAGTTCATTTCTAATGCACTGTTATTTCTTTCAACAAAAAAATACTGCAAAACAAAGCAACACAAGACATCCCACTTTTTATCAGCTTCGGACCAAAAGTTTATATTTCTCACGTAAATAATGTAGTAGACCATCGAGTGAAGATTTATTCTCTGAAGAGCTTTGCTACAACGTAGAAAAATGGGCTGCACTGTAGATTTGAACTGACAGAAACAAAAGTTGGACAAGTCTCACAAGTTGGATTTCAAATGTAAACAAAAATATGAAAATGGAACTACAACCGGCATAGTCTGTGTTATATGGTAATGTCTGGCTCAAAATATGAAATGATAGTGAAACTATTTATCATGTAAGTGCGTCCCCCATTCATTGATTAATACATGCAATAAATGAGGGGTCTTCAACCTTTTTCCCCATATACATTTTTGTATCTTAATATGAATCTGTGTTTTAACATTTCAAATTACCGAACATAAAAATATAATTAGATAATCAATTCATCACTTGCAGGAAAAAAAGAAAATCCTACTGTGCTTAGAAGACCTCATTATTTGAAACATGAAACAATTATAAGTTATTGATTGCATTTACACAATATTGTATCTGAATATTACTTGGAAAGGGGAGGGTATTGGTGGCTCCCAAGCGACCCTTGAACTATATTATCATGCTAAATGCCTTTTATAATTAAGGGCATCTGATTTCTTGACAACAGAATTCTAACTATAAGCCACGGGTGTCCAATCTATAGCACAGGAGCCACCTGTAGCTCGCCACCTCCGTAGCTCTGCAAAGGATAAGAGGAGTCACATGATTTCAACTATTGTAAATGCCTACTTTACTACCTCTGTGCACAAATGAAAAATAAAAGATTGTTTTATGGGTATAAGACAACTTTTTTTTAAAAGATTTTCCAATGGACCAAGTAATATTATTGCTATGCTTTGCATGATGATATAAGGATATAGCTGGTTGTTCTATGTGAAAATCTTGTTCTAAGAATGTCAAAATGTCCTCAAATAGAAAATAAAACAACATTTAAGCACACCATTACGTCTAAAGGAGTAGCTCACTGTCACATCTGTCCTGAGGAAAAGGTTGGAGACCCCTGCTATAAGCTCTACCGCTACCTCTCACATCCCTCTACTTACTGTTAATACAGACCCTCTAGTCTTTGCCACCAACCGATTCAACTTTTGAAACATTTATTTCTGTTAACGGTCCTTTCTGCTCCATCGAACAATATTGTCTCCCATTGTCCTTGACTCTCCCACAAGTGCCTTACGCTTTCAGCTTACTGGCGACAAACAAAAAGAGCATACATTGCATTTTTCTAAGCCCATCCAAAGCCCATGGAACATTAAAAAGCAGCCATTTTGAGGCAAGACCCAATTAGAATATGGCTCTAAAGTTTTCCTCGGCTCCTTCAGTATCCCATCTCCCCCAAACCATGATTAGCTCACCCCTTGTTCGGCAATGGCATAGTAAAATGCTGATTGCAGTGTTTACATTTTAACACACAAAAAAAACGCCTCTCTCGCTTTGAACTTTGAAGGCCCATGCAGATGATTTGCATTGGTGAGAGGAACGTTAAACACTCTTTGTTGGTTTAGGAGTCTGATGGGTGCTAGAAAGCATTAATTTATTGATGTGTTTATAAATGTTGAACAGGGGTTTGGTGTAATACAATATCACATATTGCGTCATTCAGATTTATACTGTTCCCTGGAGTTATCTTAACATGTATTAGATTATATTCTATAATAATACAATTCGACTAATGCATCATATACTAATAAGATTGTGCATTATTACGTTTTGAATGTGAAATTTAATCTCAAAAAGTCACATTGAAAAATATGATGAAACAAGAATGAAAGTAATGTAATTGCTTGTGATTCCTTATGCCAGAGGTTGAAATTTAAGAACATAATTTCTGCTAAGAAAAGGGACTAATACTTGCCACTCAAATGCTGCAGTGGAAGAGTGTATGCTTCCAAACGTATGGAAAAATCACACTGTACTGGCTGTAATTGGTTTAATCCATTTGACTATTTTCCACGTCCAAACTTGTTCTTGACTTGGAAAATAAACCTTGAAATACAATACAATTAACGCAAACCAAACTCTCACAGGTGCAGTCTGTCTCCTCTCAGCACTGCAGTAGTCGCAAAATGATGCAAAAAAGAGGTTGTACAATTAACACATTTCTACAATTGTATTGTCACCTGACTTCCGCATGCCAAGGTGCTTATCTGATAACGAGTGGCTCTCGGCAATTATCCAGAATGTTCACAGCCCCTTTTCGAAGCTGAAGGGCCCCTTGTTATCATGGGTATTGGAAAAGTGTGTCTTTGTGTAATTGGCTACACACATTGGGCCTGTTGTATTCAGTTCACGCTAAAGATAATTGACAAGTAGACTAAATGTATCAGTAAATGTTCAACTTGATGTTTAAGTTTTAGTGTTTGACTAAATCAGTGAAATATGAAAAGCATGGAATTACTTGAAATTAGGGCTGTCAACCAATACTATTTGTAATGTATGCTGCAATTGTCAGTGCTTATGTAAAGCAGGCTCAAAGGCAAATGCATAGAAAGTATGGATTTGTAATAATAAAATGCAATAGATAAGTATGGTTTATTTCTTAGTAATAAATGGATCTTGATTAATATGTATGAACGATATCCAGACAGATTTCAGACTCAATCATGTCTTGGCTGTCTTGGTTCACTTTTACATAGCTTCCAGTACAGCTAAATGAAAGGAGAAAACGCTTATGTTTCTGTGTCTGAGGGAAAATTCTCAGAGAGAGAGGTGTTGTCCGGATTAAGTCACATCTCTGGGGACGCATGGTGACGAGACAGAGGTAGCACTAGCACAAAACACCCTGTCATTTTATCATCTCCTAATTAAGAACTACCACAGCGTGTACAAGTACGTGCCACGGCGTATACAATAATGAGGTGGATGTGAAAATTCTGACATTTAAGAGCAGGATTACTATCGCAACAACACATCAGTAGGGTAAAACTAACCTGTCTCACGACGGTCTATAATGACATTTAAGTTTGAAATATCAATCAAATGCCTGGTGCAAAACATCACCGGAAACCATTACCATTACCATTTCAAAGTATGGTTGGGTCTTTTGTATGCTGACAGCTTGAATGTAGTTCTACGTCATGGTGCTACGTCCCTTAGGACTTCGCTAGTGGGATATCACTCGTGACCCCCAGGTCACACGCCAGAGAGATCAAAATAATTTGCTCCAATCACCAGCCACCTTCCTCTATAAATGCCCCTGCACAAGGCCGCACCCCCTCTTTCACTCTGGCGCCGTTGAGATCTACCACAGTACTTACTTTATTCAGAGATGTCTTCCTTGTTCGTCCGAGTTCCCTTCGCCCTCCGGCGTCGGACGTCGTCACTGGATCCAGACGGTGGAGGACTTCACCTCTGTGGGTGCCACCACTCGAGGAAGGAGGAGGATGCCTAAGCCCCTAGCAGCCAAGAGGCCTGCTCTGGGGTACGACATATACTGCAGCGGGCAGGACTGGTCCTGGACCGGTGATCGAGGATTCATTCCGCATGGCCCTGCAGCCCTCCGCATCCGTGTGGCCCGGCACCAGACCTCTCCTTCTCTCCGAGCGGGACAGGATGTCTTGCCGAGGCTGGATAGATATTAGGCCAATGCGGGCCTCCCCCCTGGACTGCCACCTCCCCCCTGGACTGCCACCTTAACGTGGTGGGGGAGTTTGAGTACTCGGATGATCCTGGGAGCTATGCTGTCTGGGGCTTCATGCCCCTGGTAGGGCCTCCCATGGCAGACAGGTCTCAGGTGACGAGTCAGACAAAGAGCAGTCCAGAAGACACCATGGACAGCACTAACACGAAAACAGTGATGTCGCCCGGCATGGCGCAGCCGGGGCCCCACCCTGGAGCCAGGCCTGGGGTCGGGGCCCGTATGCGAGCGCCTGGTGGCCGGGCCTTAGCCCACGGGGCCCGGCCGGGCTCAGCCCGAAGGGATGACGTGGGCAGTCCCTCCTGTGGGCCCACCACCTGCAGAGGGGTCCGTGGTGAAGCGGTGCAGAGAGGACTGGGCGGCAGTCGAAGGCGGAGACCTCGGCGACCCAGTCCGCACACACAACATCTGGCTCTTGGGACGTGGAACGTCACCTCACTGGGGGGGAAGGAGCCCGAGCTCGTGGGGGAGGTTGAGCGATACCGACTAGAGATAGTCGGCCTCACCTCCACACACAGCTTGGGCTCTGGAACCCAACTCCTTGAGAGGGGTTGGACGCTCCACTTTTCTGGAGTTTCCCGCGGGGAGAGGCGGCGAGCTGGGGTGGCCATTCTCATTGCCCCCCATCTCAGCCGCCACGTGTTGGAGTTCTCCCCGGTGAATGAGAGGGTCGCGTCCCTCCGCCTCCGGGTGGGGGACAAGTCTCTCATTGTTGTGACGGCCTACGGGCCTAACAGCAGTGTAGAGTACCCGGCCTTCTTGGAGTCCTTGGGAGGGGTACTGGACGGTGCACCGCCCGGGGACTCCGTTATTCTCCTGGGGGACTTCAACGCCCATGTGGGAAACGCCAGTGACACTTGGAGAGGGGTGATCGGGAAGAGCGGCCCCCCTGATCTGAACCCGAGCGGTGCTCAGTTGTTGGACTTCTGTGCCAGTCGCGGTTTGTCCATCACGAACACCATGTTCGAGCACAAGGGTGTCCACCAGTGCACGTGGCACCAGGACACCCTAGGCCGGAGGTCGATGATCGACTTTGTTGTCGTATCATCTGACCTTCGACCGCGTGTCTCGGACACTCGGGTAAAGAGAGGGGCGGAGCTGTCAACCGATCATCACCTGGTCGTGAGTTGGATCCGCTGGCAGGGGAAGAAGCCGGTCAGACCTGGCAGACCCAAGCGTATAGTGAGGGTCTGCTGGGAACGTCTCGCTGAGCCCCCTGTCAGACGGACTTTCAACTCACACCTCCGGGAGAGCTTCTCCCAGGTCCCGGCGGAGGAGGGGGACATGGAGTCCGAGTGGACCATGTTCTCTGCCTCAATCGCCGATGCGGCGGCTCGTAGCTGTGGTCGCAAGGTCTCTGGTGCTGGTCCCGGCGGCAACCCCCGAACCCGGTGGTGGACACCGGCAGTAAGGGATGCCGTCAGGCTGAAGAAGGAGTCCTATCGAGCCATGATGGTTCGGGGGACTCCTGAGGCAGCTGTCCAGTACCGGCAGGCCAAGCGTGCCGCGGCCCGGGCTGTTGCAGAGGCAAAAACCCGGGACTGGGAGGAGTTCGGAGAGTCCATGGAGCATGACTATCGGTCGGCCTCGAAGAGATTCTGGCAAACCATCCGGCGCCTCAGGAGGGGGAAGCAGTTCTTTGCCAACACCATGTACGGTGCGGGTGGAGAGCTGCTGACCTCGACTGGGGATATTGTCGGGCGGTGGAAGGAATACTTTGAGGTTCTCCTCAATCCCCCCGTCACGTCCTCTGTTACAGAGGCAGAGGCTGAGGATGTTGGGGCGGGTACATCCATCTCCCTGGCTGAGGTCACCAAGGTGGTTGGTAGCCTCCATGGTGGCAAGGCTCCGGGTGTGGATGAGATCCGCCCTGATTATCTAAAGTCTCTGGATGTTGTAGGACTGTCTTGGCTGACACGTCTCTGCAACATCGCGTGGCGATCGGGGGCAGTGCCAATGGAGTGGCAGACCGGGGTGGTGGTCCCTCTCTACAAAAAGGGGGACCGGAGGGTGTGTTCCAATTATCGTGGGATCACACTCCTCAGCCTCCCCGGTAAGGTCTACTCCAAGGTACTGGAGAGGAGGTTACGGCCGATGGTCGAATCTCGGATCCAGGAGGAGCAGTGTGGTTTTCGTCCCGGTCGCGGAACACTGGACCAGCTCTATACTCTCCATCGGATACTCGAGGGTTCATGGGAGTTCGCCCAACCTGTCCACATGTGCTTTGTGGATTTGGAGAAGGCGTTCGACTGTGTTCCCCGGGGTGTCCTTTGGGGGGTTCTCCGGGAGTACGGGGTCGGAGGTCCTCTGCTGAGGGCCATCCGATCCCTGTATGACCGGAGCCAGAGCTGTGTTCGCATTGCCGGCAGTAAGTCAGACCTGTTCCCAGTGAATGTTGGCCTCCGACAGGGCTGCCCTTTGTCACCGGTTCTGTTCACTGTATTTATGGACAGAATATCTAGGCGCAGCCAGGGGTCGGAGGGGGTCCGGTTCGGAGACCACAGGATTTCATCTCTGCTGTTTGCGGACGATGTTGTCCTGTTGGCTCCAACGAACCAGGACCTGCAGCATGCACTGGGACGGTTTGCAGCCGAGTGTGAAGCGGCTGGGATGAGAATCAGCACCTCCAAATCCGAGGCCATGGTGCTCGACCGGAAAAAGGTGCCTTGCCCTCTGCAGGTGGGTGGAGAGGTCCTTCCTCAAGTGGAG